CCTCAGCATCTCGCAGAACGACATCGATTACATCGCTATCAACAAGACCGGAGAGTGGCTAGCGTTTGGCGCGTCGAAGCTCGGCCAGCTACTTGTGTGGGAGTGGCAGTCGGAATCGTATATTTTGAAGCAGCAGGGACACTTCGACTCGATGAACACAATCGCATACTCGCCGGACGGTCAACGGATAATAACAGCGGCAGACGATGGAAAGATCAAAGTCTGGGAAGTCAACTCCGGTTTCTGTGTCGTCACATTCACAGAACATATGGGCGGTGTGACGGCCTGCGAATTTGCGAAGAAGGGGAACGTCTTGTTCACAGCCAGTCTTGATGGCTCCATCAGGGCTTGGGATCTCCACCGGTATCGCAACTTCCGCACTTTCACAGCGCCATCGAGGCTTTCCTTTTCGTCCCTAGCGGTTGACCCAAGCGGCGAGGTCGTATGCGCGGGCTCTATCGACTCTTTTGACATTCATATTTGGTCCGTGCAGACCGGCCAGTTGCTCGACAGGCTGTCTGGCCACGAGGGCCCTGTGTCATCATTAGCATTCTCCCCCGATGCCGGCACGCTGGTCAGTGGAAGTTGGGATAGGACTGTTCGCGTCTGGAACATCTTTGCTCGCACCCAAACAAGCGAGCCGCTACAACTCATGGCCGACATCCTATCTGTCGCATTTCGCCCCGATTCGAAGCAAATAGCCGTCACAACTCTTGATGGACAACTGACGTTCTGGAACGTGTCCGATGCTGCACAAGAAAATGGCCTTGATGCGCGAAGGGACGTTTCCGGTGGTCGCAAGATGTCAGATCGGCGCACTGCAGCCAATGTAGCAGGCACCAAAGCCTTTACGTCGGTGAAGTACAGCGCAGACGGCACGTGTGTATTGGCAGGCGGCAACTCCAAGTACATCTGTCTATACGATGTTCAGTCCGGTGTGTTGCTCAAGAAGTTCACCGTATCCGTGAACCTTTCTCTCGATGGCACACAAGAGTTCCTCAACAGCAAGCTGCTCACAGATGCCGGGCCACAAGGTCTCATTGACGACCAAGGCGAAGCGTCAGATCTAGAAGATCGGCGAGACACAACACTACCCGGTGCGCAGAAGGGCATTGGCGCACGGAAAACACGACCGGAAGTGCGCGTACCCGCTGTCGCGTTCTCGCCAACAGGCAGAGCGTTCTGCGCTGCTTCAACAGAAGGCTTACTAATCTACTCACTCGACAATACGTTCCAATTCGATCCCTTCGACCTAGACATCACTGTCACACCGGCGACAACTCTCGAGACTCTCGCACAGAAAGACTACCTCAAGGCACTGGTCATGGCTTTCCGTCTGAACGAGCGCAACCTTGTTCGCCGCGTATACGAAGCGACGCCCGTGAGCAACGTCGCTCTAGTAGTCAAAGACCTACCATCAGTATATCTCGGTCGGTTACTACGATTCGTCGCCCTACAAGCCGACGAGTCCCCGCATCTGGAGTTCAATTTGGTATGGATCGAGGCACTGCTCAGCAAGCACGGCCGATGGATGAAGGACAACAAGGGCGGACTTGAGGCCGAGTTGAGAAGCGTCGAGAAAGCTGTTCGCAGAATACAGGCTGAGCTCGCAAGATTGGCCGATGAGAACATCTATCGCATCGAATATCTGCTGGCGCAGCCGCCAGAGGAGAAAGAGAAGTCAGCCCAACTCGACTTTGGGGTCAAAGCGATAGAGAATGGGATATCGGATGAAGAGATGGTTGACAGCGATGAAGGCGAGGATATAGGCGAGTGGATGGGCTTTGAAGAGTGATACCATTGTACGAATACGAATTTTGACGAACTGTTATATCGAAGATGGCGCCTGCGTGTCCCGAGGTTCTGATCACCAGCAACTGCCCCTGCTCGATGTCGCTCTTTCTACACTTTGAACATCCAGACTGGACAACAATGATGGTCAAAGCGTACATCGCGCGGCTTGATCATGGCTAATGTGCTAGGAAGATGCGTGCTGCTTACGACGATCGTACTTCACCAACGCATTGATGGAGGATGTATTGCGAGGAGGAAGAACTTATCACACCGCTTATTGTATACAAAGAACCTTGGCATGATCTCGACTGTTGGGTGAGGGGGAAAGGATATCTACATGAGAGAATTAAGAAGGGGTCAACAGATCGTCACGGGCCGTTTCTGGTATGAGATTGCCGTCCTTGTCAGCCGCCACAACATTGCCATCCTTGCTACGGAAAGACCGAGGCATCACTAAGACAGTCGAACGATAGGCGGAGATACTACTCAACATCACCAGACGCCGTATCTTGTATCGTATGTACGAGCCGGTACGTGCCGGTTCAGGCGGTGTGGCGACTCCAAGAATATTGTTTGAGATAGTTCTTGCATAGTAGAAGCTGCCAGTGTAGCTTTTCCTGTCAATAGTTAGGTACCGCTTCTTGCTCTATCCATACAATGACTACCTCCCATGCCGAGTGGTAGCTTTCCTGATTTCCGACATGGTGCACGAAGACAGAACTTCATGGACTCGAGGGCTGTATTGACGGACCAAACTCCGAAGTATAGTCTAGACTTTTGGTAGAAGAGGTGAGAACGGGCCGAAGTCTACAGCGTGCCGAATCATTCAAAATAGTTACAGTAGTTCACGCGCTACGCAGCATTACAGCCGTAGCGCGCCATGCCAATTCTATGCAGGTGGCAGTAAGATGCACACAATTCAAACCCTTGAATGTAAGCACCCAATTTAACAAATCTTACCAGGAGATACCCGGCCAAATTTGAAGTTCAAACTCTATCTGAGCAGTTTCTTGGAATGGTATGGCGTATCACGCGTGAGACGGGAGACTGTGGCTTGCTCGTGGCATACAAAAGCTACCCACCGACCGCCTCAGAAAATCACTTTACTCAGCAGTCTACATTTACTCTATCACAAACCCTCCAGCATTCTGAAATCGCATACCATGAAGTTGTCAATCGTTGCCGCAATGCTATTCACCTCACTCGCTTCTGCCGAGATAAGGTACTGGTGCCTGAAAGGTGGAGACGCGATCCCAAAAGATGAGTGGAGCTGTTCTACTGCAGACAACCGAGCATGTAAGCTATCTTTCGTACTAGTTTTCTCTTTTATGATCACTTACTAACGAATTACACCCTTCTGTAGGCCAAAACAAAGGCTGTGCAGACACTTGCTTCCCTGGTGCAGATGCAGTTCAGGTATACAGAGTACAGCTGTATGTATCACGTCGCAGAATTCAGAAAGGTAGAAGCTTACTTCGATTACAGGAAGGACCCAGATGCTTGTTTCTGCTATTGCAGAGAGCTGTAAGGGTCGTCCAAGGAAGATTCGGGGTCGGCATGCACACATGATGTCCACCAATGCTGTTCAAGTACCGCCTCGATCCTACCTCGGTCCGGCGCATGCCGAGCTTGGGTACACCTTGGTAGCGATCGCGTTCATAGTAATATATACCAATACACAAGAACCCAGTTATTATTATCACCTGGTACGATCGTACAAAGGCTTACCAACAGATACGCGCTGTGTCCAGAACGACGGGCTGCTAATACGAGGCTGTAGAAACTCTAATCGTCGCATGTGATCTGGCTCCGTCCGGGTACGGCACCTTCCCATGTAAAGATAGGAAAGAGCAGGGAAGGCACACAAGATGGAAAGCGCGGAAGAGTATCGACGTGGTCAGAGCAGTCGCGCACCTTATTGACCCAAACACCACTTTCACTCCACTCACAGTCACAGTCACCACACTCCAGCACACCACCACATCGTTATTGCGCTATCTTCATATCCTCACCTTCACATCGCCAAAGTCCAGATACTATCGCTATGGATACTTCCCCATACCAGGCTCGGCCCATCCCAACTCTCAGGGCGCGGTCGTTTTCCTGCCCCATAGGCTATGGAAAGGCATGTGCGAGGAGATTGCCGGGCGTCTAGGCGGGGTTCGCGCATGATATGTTCCCGGACACACACAAGGAAGCGACGCCCAAAGAGCCTGTACGAAGCGATTCGCCGCAAGGACCTCCATCACCAAAGCTCGCCGACGGACCCACGACGGTTGACACACCCACTACGGTTGACTCACCCACGACGGTTGACTCACCCACGATTGATCCAAACGCGATACACCCGAAGAGGCTAAGGTCGATTCTGACAAAAAGGTTCATGAAGAAACATGACGAGGCGGGACCCAGAGATCTGGCACCTCTGCACATTGGCCGACATCCAATCCCGTGGAGTATGCCCAACGAAGAGGATCTTCGTATGGTCTTTGACCCAGAACTCGTCGAATGGATACAATCGTCGGACTACCTGGATCACGCCCCCAATCGCTGCTTTTGCTCCCTCGTTCTGCATATCCTGAGCGAACGTCTACCAGCCGACGTCACTCGCAACGACCCCATCGACCGCGATGACTTTCGGGGCAGACTTGGCGAGCTCTTCTCCGACGACGGAATGCCTCTCGACCATCTCCTTGATCACTGCGCGAATGGGTACAACATCCAGAAGGTCAGGAAGGTGCACAAGCGACCAATGACGCATAACACTTAGACGGAGTATGTCGGCATGTTGTGCGAGGGTATCATCTTGATGAACGAGGAGCCTTCCTTGCCGCCCCCGAAAGACAGTCCTTCCACGCCCCCAGAGGAGCAACCCTCCACGCCCCCGGACGATGACACGCCCAAGGCAGGGAAGGGAAAGCAACCAAGAGCAGCGTCGGCTTCACCAGAGCCTTTCAGAGGGCGTGCGCTAACATATGAGTCTGACGAGCGGGTAATCTACCGGCCTGCATCAATGGATGATTGGAGGCGGTGTATGCGTTAGCAGTATTGTTGTCGTCTAGTAGGTACACTTCGAGTCGGAAGCCCTTTCACTTTCACTGGGACAGAACTGGAGGTACTCCTGCAATTTCATCTCTTCATTGCTTGCTGCAGATTTCTACCATGATTCGCTGAGCCTACACTCAAGAACCAGTATCACCACCCGTTCATCTAACAGCCTCCACCTTGATGACCCCAGTGATCCCGGCGAGGGTCGTAGCCGTAGCCATACCATCTGTTACCTTGACCATATCCTGGATAGCCTTGCTCCTCATTGCCATGATAGCCCTCAAATTCATCATCCTGGTTCTCGGAGCGACGAGACGGTAGTCGAGGATTTCGTCGAGGAGCCGCGTTACCATATCCGGGTTGTCCAGGATACGCACCAGGATCTTGGAGGCCCGCTCGTCGGAATTGGTGTCTTAGTCGTTCCATAGTGTCAACGTAGGCTCCGTCAGCCGCGTTCGTCCATCCTTGCGCCGCGGTCGCCCATCCCTGCATCTCCCGCTGACGCTCGATTCGTCTCCTTGCGCGGTACGCTTCATCTTCACCGTCTACGGCTATGCCTCTGCTTCGTCCTTCGTATCCCCTACCGTTTGTGCTGTCATTTCGCCCATTCATCCTATCATGTCCCCCATTAACCGGACCTCTACCAGTTCCTCCAAAACCACCCCTCCCCATCTGCTCCATCTGCCCCTGCAGCTGTCTCGCCATCTGCTCATCCCTCCCTGTATCTACCTCCACCGGCAGACTCTCCTGCAGCCTCCGAGCAACTTCTTCATCTCGGCTCGTGTCCATGATGACACGCCGAGGTATGGAGACTTGGCCGTCGTAGTTATCGAAGAAACGTTGCATGAAAGCTGCTTTGTCTTTTTCGTTGCGGACTTGTAGGAAGGCGCGGTGGAAGGTTGCTTGCGCGGCGGGCGTGGGGAAGTCGAAGCGGAGGATGGGCGCGGTGAGGTCGAAGTTTTGGAGGGTGTGGGGGGAGGATGTTATTAGGCCGGGTGGCTGCGGTGCGTTATTTGGTGCACTCATCTTGCGAATATTGTGTTTGTTGTGCTTGTGAGACTCTTGGGGTATGGTTGAGTTTTTTGAGTCTGATATGGAGTGTGATGGGGAAGGTATTGCGAGGAGGATAAGAAAGCAAATTGTATTTGAACGAGCTTGCCGGCTGAAGCGTCACGTCAGCTGGTGCGTTATATGACTACGGTGCCAACGATCTACCTTTCACCTCGTGCGTCGACACACCCACATCTTTCACACCCGCGTGACGGATCGATTTCATGCCCTATCTCTCTTATTGACAATCGGTAGCTTTTGGCCGATTCTTGATTCTTCCCACTAAAATATGTCAGACACGAGTATCGCAGTCTCGGAAAAGGTATTACCTCAATGTGAAACGACTAAACAATGTCAACTATTGTCTTCGCACTTGGAAATAAGTTGTCTAGATCCTCCAGAGCCTTGCCACCCCTATAATCCATCAAGATGCCTATGCGCTCGAAAGTGTCTATTTCTGTCTCCGAACGTCGGAGTATAAGAGAGGTACAATAGTCAGTCGAAGCAAAGAACAGGATACATGTTACCTCGGAATCATCTATTCGGGTATCAGGCACACATGCTTCCGCCGACGAAGCATCGAGATAAAAGTTATACCTGGTGCCGTTGGGGAATGTAACGGAATCATGGAAAGAGATCCGTTTGCGCCGGTCTTCTTGGTTCCACACAACTTGCGCGCAGCGTCCGAGTAGTCGAAGCCTTCCGGACTGAAGCTCTCCATAGTGATCTCCGGATTTAGGTACCACAATACACTCGAGTATCTCAGCAGATGCAGTGTGGTCGTCCAAAGAGCGACGTGATGTGGACCAAGTTACATAGTCTAAGAAGTGGACTGGATCATCCACTGCGGACCAGGACCAGGACGGGGCTCTCCACGCTGGCCTTGGCTTCGGATGGCTGATAAGTGGGGGTATTCCCCACTGTAGCTGATCATGAAGTCCTTTCATCCAGAATCCAGCCACGTATCGGTCTTCCGGCCTAGCGAACGTCTTTGCTAATCCTGCAACAGCCATCAACTTGTCACTGACATGAGTCAAGTCAAGGAGGCTGTATTGCCATATTATGAGCTTCCAAATTCGTACACTTTCCGTAGATGACACCTCTGTGCGCATGTACGTCCTAGCCGCTTTGGCGTCGCTGTTCCATACCGAATCATGCCTACTGGCGCACTCGCATTGTTGTCTTTCTGTACATTCAAAAGCCATTTCCTGATGAGTGTAGTGTAGGATACGGGGCGAAAGTAGGCGCTCTTGTAGAGCCCAGGCGCGCTTCAAGAGTGGGTAATTTCCCGTGTAGAACTCGCCTAAGTGGAAACGCTCTTCGGAAAATATCAGTGTGATTGGGCCTCCTCCTTTGGAAACGAACTGAACTTCGTTCTCGGAGCATCTTCTGAACAAACCCTCATCACCGGACTTTGAAGCTGTTGCTGAAATGGTAACAAATGCGTTTTGATAAACCGTGGACATTCGCGCAGCTTCTCGTGCCCAATCCTCGTGGTCATCCTGCACTATACAGAGCGAATCGATCTAAGTCATCGTTACACAAGGTTAGTAATTCATTCCATATGAATTGAATGCTACTTCCTTACCCAAAAATATCGGATGCCTAATTCTCGAACCACTTGCACCGCCTCTCTGAAGGTCTTCGTCATGTCCTTGAGGCGAATATGCTCATGCCTTTCTGGGAGAGTGGCTTTAGTGGTCGTGAATTGTTTTATGACTCCCCAACAATGGCTGAGCGCAGCGTATCGCACATCTCCATCAGCATTCTCTACCAGCTTAATGATTTCTTCGTTGTCAGGTGATCGAAGGTCAAGCAATCGTGTCGGCAGAGCTTGACCTTTTTCGATGCGACAGGCCGTATGATTCTCGACGCAGTTTTTCAGCCACGTATTAGCAATCTTAAAAGCGTCCTTGGACCCTGTGAACGCGGTCCTTGGACGTACCCTTTGAAGATAGCTCCAAGGTTCAGGGAGAGGTTGACCAAAATGCTTCCAGTCCTGTCTGGCTGGTATGTCGCGTAGTGACTCACATTGTGCTGCGAGTATTTTCAGACGTATGTTGGTTGATGCAAAACTCATCTCCACATAGTAATGGCCCCATTCCTTCAAGTAGCCACCTGATTTCCACGCATCCCGATGATATCTGTGACGTTCCCCAGGACGTGGCCTCGCACTACTGTTGACCCAGCTGGCCTGATCTTCGGAGTCTCCAAGATACAACAGCAGATTGTCCGGTGTCCAGTCGCGTTTGCGGTCTTCATCTAGCCACCCACGACAACCGCGTATGATCGCGTCACAGTAGGTGCAACCATGCGCGGAAGTAACGACATCAGCCCAAGCATATGTCGCGTGGAGAAAGAAACCTGATAGCTTTTCGAAAGAGTGGCAGATGTAACACTCCCCCCAGACTGCCGTGGACGGGGCCGTAGGATGGATCTCTATGACGTCAAGTGGGGCAGGCTTCGACGACGAAGACGCGCCTTCTTCCATCTGTGCAGTGATGCGTGACGTGGCCGCGTTCGAAGAACAGCCTTGAAACAAATAGAGTATTTATCAGATGGATTGCGTCGATCGGAAATTACGATAACAGTGAGAGTGTACATGTAGGCCACAATAGGTACGCGTGGCATGCCTTAGGCACTGTGCCACAGTCATGCAGCTGCGAGGGGGATCACTGTCGTGCATCCGAGGAGAGTCGGAACATCAAGACAACCTACATTGATAATAGGTGTCTATGTGTTGTCTTTATTTTTGGGGGCTCACATGTAGGTGGTATTAACCGTAATGTATTATTTGACACAGTTGCGAAAGCAGCTTCGGTTCATCATGTGGCGACTACGGTCCTAACCGAGCGAGGTCTCTTCGTGCGCTGACCCAACAAATGACAAAACGTGTCCACGTCGCGCCCGAAAAGCCTCAACTCATCCCGCCCATTCTGCATGTGCCATCAGTGACACATGGCCAACACACAGCCCACCCTTTGCTCACCCCCATCCATTTACCGGCGAGTCCGATCATCCCTCTCGCGCGCCCTTACCGCAGCTTTACTATAATACTCCAGCATCGCCAACGTCTCAGCACGATTTCTACGAATATGTTCGCGAAGCTCTTCCGCAGTCATGCGAGCTCGAACCGGTCTGAGCGCTACCGGCTCGTCGCCCCCACCACCACGTAGATGAGGCTTAACATGCTGCCACTCTCGCTCTTCCGCATCAGACACGACTTCCCAGGAAGAATTACGACTGCGATCTACTAACACGAAGGTATGTTCATCTGGCGATGGTTGTTCTTCTTCCTCGACGGCGGCGGGTAGTCTGAAATCATCTGGAATCCAAGGGTCTTGGTGCGACGCGACGATTTCGGCAATGGCTGGCTCTTGCATCGGTGCCATCTCGCTAGGCTCGAAGTCTTGGTACTGCGACCTTCGGTTTCTCAACTGACGAATGTATTCGCGGTGGATGAGATCGTCCTCGTTGATCCGACGTCTTTCAGCTCTTGAGCTGCGATGTGGATCTGGCATGTACACACCGTGTTCGAATGGTAGTGGAGATGTCGGGCGGACGATTTGGCGTCTTCGTACTCGCGGATCTGGCGTATCCAGGAAGTTAAGCGCAGGGCCGATAACATGCTCCAGCCGTTCGCGTGAAGCTCTCGTGTCGTTGTAGGTCGGAAGAGGATTGGCGTGCGCTCTTGGTCGCGGCTGTTCAGTCATGACGAAATAGACCGAGATCAAAAGAGGTACAACGACAGGTAGAGTGAGCAGTAGCAAGTCGAGCCAAGATTGGTCTTCGAAGTAATGGATAGCCATGATCGCAGCAGAAAAAGCAGTATGGAAGAGCGATTATCGTGTGGTTTACATATAGTGACGACAAGTCGTTCGTTCCATGTTTGCTGGGCTGAGCCAGCACTTTCCCATAGCGCGAAGAGCATTCTTCGTTCGTACGCGTTTGCTACTCGTTGTTAGTGCTAGTTCGAACGAGAAGGGTTTGGAGATTCTACCGGGTCGCATGCTGCGGACAGGCAGGACTATGAAGGCGTATGTGGTCGCTTGCTGCCTCCGCGTGTTGGTATTGAATGCAGTGGATGCCCTAATGATATCACTTACTAGACCTCGGCCTGCAAAAACGCTCAAGAGATACGCAGTCTTTGATACTACGCTTGCGCTATGTATAGACCAGTGCGAACATCAACTCAACACAATGGACAATGACCCATTCCAAGCATTGAGTCCACGCAACGATCAACAATCCGATACACCAATCTACTTCTCATCCATGTCCAACCCACTCATCTCCTCACTCAAGCCACTGATGTCCCCCAGGCTCAAATCCTCCGCTTCGCTATCCCCCAGGAAAATGCGTTCAAAGTTCATGTCACCCACATCGCTGACGGGCGCGTACGTGGGGTCCGTCATCCTGCGCTGAGCAGCGGCCTCGAATTCGCGATAGTTCTTCTGGATCTCGTCTTGAGAAAGTTCGTTCGAATGACGGTGTGACCTTGCGTTATCACCATGACCGCGCTGCTGACCACCGAGACCACTGGCATCGATGGCAGAATTGGAAGAAATACTGCCGCTCTCTTCAGATTCGCTGGTGAGACAGATTGGCGAAAGTGATCGGGGGAGCAATGAGTCGCGTTGTTCCATGGGAGGCGTAGGAGGTAAAACAACTGCCTTTCCTTTCTCAATAAGAGACTTCTGTCGGTCTTCGCCCTGTGGCTGCGATAACTTGGTGGCAGATACTGTTGGAGTCGAGGGGCGTGACGGGCCGACTGCTTCCCTTAAACGACGCACAATATCCTCACTATGCCGCAACACATCATAATCACTGCCGTTCACAGGTTGACCGAGTGGGCCGAGTTGTTTGCGCATAGCGGCAACGTCCTGTGCAATGGCAGCGCACTTCTTCTGCAGCTCGATGACCTCGGTAGACGTAGAAGTCGTGAGCATGTGGAAATGGCCGGAAGACTCCACCTTTTGACGCTTGAGACAAGTGTCTGACTCGTGGTCCGCCGGTTTCAAGGTCGATGCTCCGTCCAGGCTTGTGGAGCGGAATGGAGCTTTTCGTTTCCTAGGCGACTCGGCTGGCAGATCAGGATCAGACAGCACGGATGCGTCCGCAATCGATGTGGCTGAGATGTCAGCTTCGTCATCGAGGCTCTTATCAGACTGTCGTCTAAAGTATGCAAATGCTTCATTCCAGCATTCATGTAGAGACGGAATACGTGCTTGACGGGGGCGAGTCTTGGACAGTGGCGTACTAGTGTACGATGGAACCCAGGGCGTCGACGGTTCCTCCTGCTGTGGTCTGTCGTCGTCTGGCGTTGCAACGACTTGGTATATGTCCATCACTTCGCCCTTGACCGCATGACGCAATACACGTTCGTAGCGTACGTGACCTGGAAATTGCGTGACCATCTTGGCTTGAACGATTGTCTCAGACACTGTCTGTGTGTCATCCTAGCCATGCTGTAAGTAATAGTCCAGCAAACAACTGCCATTGCGTTCCAGTGAGAAAGGAAAGCACTGGGCAGGTCTGCAACCGAAATCAAGAAGAAAAAGCGCAAAGTGGATAACGTAACGTGAGGGGTGACTCATGGGTATCGTACCTTCGTTTTGTATCTCTTCACTTCGCACACAACATCCTCGGGAAAGTGTTCGTAGCTTGAAGATCCTGATTCGCTAAAGATGCGTTCAAAGTAGAGAACAAAGGCGTTCCGGTCTTTCGGGCCAAAGGGCATACGCCAGAGCTTGACATTGGGTGGTTGCGAGACGACGGCGGCGTAGATCATGAGCACAGGCATTGTTTCCCAGGCAATATCGACATCGACCGATATGTATAGCCCGTCTGAGAAGCGGAGCAGGTAATCCTGCGTCATGATGTAATTATACACGAAGTTTGGTAGGTCGCCAGACCTGAACGACCATCTGGTATTTGTAGGGACGGCCCGAAAATCATCGTAGAAAGCGTCGATCATGTCGTGGATGAGTTTAGGAAGATCCATTCGAACAAGACGCTTGTGCTTGGCGGGCATGATCTGTTTCAAGCAAGGCCAGAGCTCGTCCTCGGCAATATGATCTGCAACGTTGGTCAGCATAGAAGCATGCACAGTAGGTGATCCAGCGTTGACGTAGGCTCCAGGGTGTTCAGATTGTTCATTGTATGAGTTCCTACGGCAACGCGATGTCTGTAACAGTCTGGAAATTTAAAGTGCAGAACGAGTATCGTACCTCGTAATGCGCCAAGTTCAGCAACAATGTTTCGCCTCATGTGACTCTCGAATTGTGGGACCAGACATTGCTCAAAGACGCGCTCCCATATCGTGAGCTCGACAGCTTGGGCAGTTGATATGCCTTTCCAGCACATGACCACGTCGAGGTAATCGACGTCCGTCGCTGTTGGGCATTAGCAAAGTACCACAACATGCTCGAAGGTATCGGTCCTACCTTCTTGCTCGAACCCTGATCTCCTCCTGCGAGGACAGTGCATATTCTGTGGCGGGCAATTCTTGTGAAAGCCATGACCGTACAAATCGGTATCGAAAGCTAAATTAGCTATGAGGCTTTCCAAGTGCTGGCGTTCCGCATTGTCGGATAAGACGGAGTTGACTACGGGTGATGGATGGGCATGGCCAGTAGCGCCAACACCGGTGCGTAGCGATGGCTGGGAGATTTTTAGTAAAGTCCGCAAGCAGGGTCGAGTGTACTCACGAGATGTTCTACAGACATGCTGTCGTGAGAGATGCTCGTAAAGAATACGTCGTCGCGATGATTGGGCGGTGTCTGGATGTAATGCTAATGTCGTTGTCAGACAGAAGGTCGCAATCCAGGCAAATGTCTTCGTTGGTGATGAGAAGGCACTCGTGAGCGACTGCCGCGGTACTGTGTTGTGACTGAGCAGCGTGAAGATTGCGCTTGCCTCACGACAACGCGGGACACCCGCAAGATTCTCCCTGGGTGCACCATCTAAATGGCGTCCATTGAGGCTCGTGTAGTGAGTCGTTCATTTTTGTTGCCAAGCTTCGAGATTTGAAGGAAAGCATCGACGCCATAGCCTTCCAGGCTGTGGATTTCGAGACTGCCAGCCCAGTATTCTGTAAGATTGTTAGCTGCGCAGCCCCGCCATTGTCATGAAATACCTACCAGCATATAGTCGCGACATGGGAAGTCCAATACCAAGACGCAGGTCTGGTGCGCGGCTGGTCAAGGAAGACAGCGAGCCGTGATACAGCCCCGAATCGCCGTGCTTGGACCTCCTATCTAGACGTTGTTGCACCTGTGCTGCAGATTCACCTCCAGGCACCTGCAGCTCCTGCAATGTTCCCAGTAGTTTTGGTACCCTCGCCAGATTTCGCAGCCTTTTCTCACGCCTAGGACCCTTGCTGAAGCTCCACAGGTATGGCAAGACTTCGTTCGGGATGCCACCACCTTGATCAGAAATTCGGATAATAACGTGCTGCGAGGTTTCGCAGATCAATACCTCAATAGGCGGCAGCTTGGCGTCTTTCGACTTACGCTCCTCGATGACAGCTTGGATAGAGTTGCGTAAGAGCTCGCCGATGATATACTCAAGATGACTCAGGATGTACGGGAACGTCGCGTCAAGGTGACCGTAGACCTTGATCTCAGGAATTTCGACATGTGGGCCCTGAGCGGTCCTGATGAGCTCCTGCATCGTCTTGCCGCAATTCTCGACTATCTCCTTCGCATTGCAACGCAAAAATATCTCGCCGACTGCCTCTTGGTCGTGGGGATGAACTTCGGCCTGTGGGAAATGCCATGGCGAATCGAAAGTCTCGGTCAGTGCTAGATGTTGTTCCGCAATGACGCGTCGCGAGATGCGCTGAATCAATTAGCATGGCCCGACGCTGTGCATGGACGGAGAGCATACCGATCGCAACATGGTGGTCATGAACTTGTCCGTCTCCTCAGCCTTCATCAGGCCCCGAACTTCGAGAACACCAATGGCGAGGCGGGGTATGACAGTGGCATGCTCTGTCAACGTCTCTTCCAGCACCTTGCAGTACTTCTCGTTATCTTCCAGCGATTTTATCTCAGGTACGCGGCGGAAGCGTTCGAAAGCGCGTAGATACGACTCGTATACATGAGCTAGATGAGGGTTCGCGACGACGACGTATGGTAGGGTCTGAATATCACGCAATCGGTGCGCAAGTCTACACGTGTTCAGCACTTATATTTCCGCTTGTCAGATACCAAGATCACACCTCGTGGGAAGCTCCAGACGGCAGTAGTTGGCCGAGTCGATGAGACGAGACTCTGTCAAGGTTCTTCCAAAGAAAGTCAACTGGCGCAGACTTATGGGTCTGGCTTCACGCTGCACCCATCTAGTCACATGTCAGCTGTGGAAGTTGGCAGGAGCATCTCTTATGTGCTCACTCGTCCAAGGCCGAAGACGGTCTCCACGCGGGCGCGACGGCTGCGGCATGTGGATGTCGAATTTGTACTCTAGAGACAGGCGATGCTGAAGGTGCTCTACGTAAGATACCAGAGCGTCGCGCGCACGACGCGAGACTACGTGTTCCTATACTCATAATTGTTGGTGCGAGAGCGCACATGTGGAGGAGAGCTCGCTGAGGGAGCTGTAGCAAAATACGGGGCATGTGACGGCGGGCTCCGCTAACCGGCGTAACTTTTGGGAATTTCACTCACAGCCTCTAATCAACGGTCGCAAAAGCAGAGGGGCGCGCATTTCACGGCACCGCCAGTCATATCACGTACAAAGGCAAACATGCTGGGTGAGCGTTTGTAGCTCGAAATATGCGCGTGGCATGTCGGTTGCCAGTATGTGATGTTGGACGAATGACGTCGTAGGCCGCGGCTTTGCTTTGACGCACTCCACTGTATCGAGCGCCAAGGCTGCATCCGTCGAAAGAGAGCTGCTGTTCTGAGCCTCGAGAGCTGCTCCCCAGCTTTTGTCTTTGTGCGCCCTCGTTGTCCACCTCGCCCTTGCACATGCTTGATGTTGGAGTTTTCCAGACGACAATAATCCGATCGTCATATCTCCACTGCCGCCACCTTTAGCGAGGAACCTATCCTTACCCGCATCCCGCCCGCGCAAGTGCTGCCCACCCGTACCTTCCTTTCTCTAGGCGACAGGCGCGCAGCTTCCCTTTTCACCTTGTAGTGTCGAGCGCACCCCGTCGTGACTGCCCCCGCGACCCGTTTCTGCAGCTCTTTCCTGCCATCTGCCCCCGCTTCCATCCGCACCTGCCGGAAAGACGACGCCGCCATGGATCAGGTAAGCTTGCGCCTTCGCCAGCGTCTCGCCAGACGCGGCCACGCTGACCCACTCACCCACGCAGATCGAAAGCGACATGCTCGTGGACCACGAGTACGACGAGAAGGCCGACGTGGCCATAATCACGCCCGACACAGACGACCAAATGGACGAGGTCGACGCCGAACCCGAGCCCCGCGCCGACGAGTACGATGCCTTCATGAAGAGACACATGCCCAAGAATCCGGAGTACGAGACCGAGGCTGAAGTATACAACACATGGGAGATCAGGGACTGGCGCCAACTCACACGACGTGAACATGGCCCAATATTCGAGTGCGGCGGTCATCCCTGGCGGATACTATTTTTCCCGTACGGTAACAACGTCGACTTTGCGTCCTTCTACCTGGAACAGGCCTATGAAGAAAAGCAAATGCCAGAGGATTGGTATGCCTGTGTCGAGTTCATGCTTGTACTCTGGAACCCCAAGGACCCTACCATATTCACCACACACACCGCACACCACCGCTTTACTGCCGACGAAGGCGACTGGGGCTTCACACGCTTTGCAGAGCTCAGAAAACTCTTCAGCAACTCCTGGGAAGACCGGGGACGGCCAATGGTGGAAGACAATGCGGCCAATGTGACTGCATACATAAGAGTGCTCAAAGACCCCACGGGAGTGTTATGGCACAACTTCATCAAGTGAGTTTCACGGATGCACAGTTTTGCCCACGATGTTTTCTGACTTGTAAAGCTACGACTCCAAGAAAGAGACCGGCATGGTCGGCTTGAAGAACCAGGGCGCAACATGCTACCTGAACTCGCTCTTACAGTCGCTTTTCTTTACCAATGCTTTCCGCCAGGTATGACACCAATTTCAACACGCAGAACAACAGCTGACTCCGCCAGGCTGTTTACCAGATCCCGACTGCCGAGGAAGCCGATCGTTCGAATAGCGCATACGCCCTACAACGCCTCTTCTACCTTCTCCAAACATCAAACAACGCCGTAGGAACCACAGAGCTGACACATTCATTTGGTTGGGACTCGAAGCAGATTTTCGAACAGCAGGACGTACAGGAGTTGTCCCGTGTGCTCATGGACAAGCTCGATGAGAGGATGAAGGGCACTGAAGCCGAGGGTGCCTTGACCAACATGTTTGTTGGTAAGATGAAGACCTACATATCATGTATCAACGTCGATTACGAATCGTCCCGGGTTGAGGATTTCTGGGACATCCAATTGAACGTGAGCGGGAACAAGAACCTGGACGACAGCTTCAAAGACTACGTGCAGGTCGAGACCATGGACGGCGAAAATAAGTATTTTGCAGAGGGTTTTGGGTTGCAAGACGCTAAAAAGGGTGTCATCTTCGAAAGCTTTCCGCCAGTACTACATCTCCAGCTGAAGCGCTTCGAATACGACTTCACGCGCGACGCCATGATGAAGGTGAACGACCGGTACGAATTCCCCGAAGTGTGGGACGCTGCGCCATATCTCTCCGACGGAGCCGATCGATCCGAATCCTGGATATACCACCTCCACGGCGTCTTGGTTCACAGCGGTGATCTCAACGCTGGTCACTATTACGCCTTCCTGAAGCCAACGAAAGACGGCCACTATTACAAATTCGACGACGACCGTGTGACTCGAGCGACACTACGTGAGGCGCTGGAAGAAAACTTTGGTGGTGACTACGCCCAGGCCAACGGGAACACTGGCCAACGCAATCCCTACACCAGAGCCTGGTCCGCAAAACGCTCAATGAGCGCCTACATGTTGGTATACATTAGGGAGACGAGGCTTGATCAAGTTCTTATCGACAGCAAGGCGGTAGAACCACCGAAGCATCTGGCAGAACGACTGGCTGAAGAACGGGCATTGTTTGAGCGCAGGAAGAAGGAACGCGAGGAAGCTCATCTCTACATGGACGTTGCGGTCGCGTCAGATGAACAGTTCAAGGCCCACCAAGGTTTTGACATCGTTCCATGGAAAGCCGACGCAGACACACCTGCTAGCCCAAGGGTCTACCGTGTGCTCCGAAGCACAACTATGGCCGACTTTGCGGTTACGGTCGCCCAAGATCTAGGAACCGAAGCCGATATGTTGCGGCCATGGTCGATGGTTAATAGACAAAACGGCACAATTCGCCCCGATACCGCACTGGAATTCCCGGAGATGACCGTCGAAGAGGCTGCCAGCAAACATGGCACGAAACAGTCGCAGTTCAGGATGTGGATCGAGAAAGCTCAAGAACGCGACGAAAGCGGCGCGCCAGTGTTTGGCGAGAAGCTAGTGGACCTCAAGGGTCAGGCTAACAACCGCCCATTGATGATCTTTTTGAAGCACTTCGACGCAGAAGAGCAGAGTCTATTCGGTGTTGGCACCTTCTACGCCGGATTCCAAGACAAGGTTTCCGATCTAACTCCAGCAATCACAAAGATGCTGGGCTGGCCAGCGGGTACGCAGATCAAGCTTTCTGAGGAGATCAAACAGAATATGATCGAAGCGATGAAGCCAAAAGTCACACTGGCAGCCTCGGAGATACAAGATGGTGACATCATCACGGTCCAGCGCGTACTGGGCGACAAGGAAACCGCACAGATAACCACTGCAGGAGGCTACACTGAGGCAAAGGAATTCTACGACTACCTCTTGAACAGAGTCAGCATCGAGTTCGTGCCTAAGCTGCCTGATACAGATCTACCCACATTCTCCTTGACTCTCAGCAAAAAGATGGCGTACGACCAGTTCTCCAGCAAGGTGGCTGAGTACCTCAAAACCGACTCTAGCTATATCCGCTTCTCGACGGTTAGCACTGCTGGCAAGCCTAAAAACCCTGTCAAGTACAACCCCACGTCAACTCTGAACAACATCCTCTTCCCTGGCCCATACAACTATTCGGCAAGCGCAAATCAGCGAAACGATGCCCTGTTTTACGAGGTCTTGGATATGAGCCTGAAGGAATTAGAGCTGAGGAAACCTGTAAAGGTGGTGTGGCTCCCTGAGGGTCTCAGCAAAGAGGTGAGTTGAACACAGTGATTGTTTTTGCTTCAAACTAACGTCATACAGGAGGAGCACGTTTTGATGGTACCCAAGAATGCCCAAGTTGCGGATCTCGTTGAAGCGCTGCAAAAGAAAGCGGGCATCAGCGACGAGGTGATGCAAAAGGTGCGGGTCTACGAGGCACATGTGAACAAGTTCCACAGGGTCCTCCCGCCAGATCACTCTGTCATGAGCCTCTACGACTACACGTCAATCTTTGCTGCGCCTTACCCCGAAGACGATGCATCGAAGAAGATTTCGGTATTCCACTTTGACAGGGAGCCATCGAAGGCACATGGTATCCCGTTCCAGTTTGCGCTGAAAGAGGTACGTGCAGCCATAAGCCTACCTCCTCTACTTGCACTAACATACATCAGGGCGAGCCTTTTAGCGAAACAAAACAGCGACTCTCAGACTTCACCAAGATCAAGGGCAAGCAATTGGACAAGATCAAGTTTTCTCTTGTCGGCAAGGGTCAATACGCGAAGCCTGAGCCAATCGATGACGGTAAGCCACTTTGGCAATGGTGATATTGCAGCACTGACGAAGTCACAGATGAAGTACTTTGGGACTTGGTAGGTGCGCGTGACGATGTATCACTTGGTCTTGAACACCCCGCCAAGACAAAGACGCTTTGGGGAAAGACTGATTCCATCTTCATTCGTTGAAGCAGCGCAATGACTGTGTAAGATACGAAGAAAAGCACGGTGCGCGACATTACTCGACACGGGTACGATCGGCATGAGATTGTCCGCAAAGTTTTGCCAGCATTTCACAGGGAGTGGCAATGAAGCGTTGGTTGCGCACCCTCCAACATACATGGCGCAATGGAGCTTGAAATATTGCAAGTATTGCATAGGCGGAGTAGCGTGCGTGGGAGGTAGGCGCAGGCGTTGGGCACATGATTATGGCGTATCATTTTGGATCAGTAAGTAAGCAGTGTAGATTAGTCCCAAAGATATCATCATTCTGCTTTCATGTCACCAGTGTAACTTGCACTGTGGTTGTCGACTGAATTTTCCACCCATCCCATGGTACCAGCCACCAGCCACCTATCCGGGAAGGAACGAGGTAACAATATACCACGGCTTCCAATTCCGAACATAAAGATAAAAACTATTAGCAGTCGCAACAGGTTCATATGAACGCGCAACATGATAAGTGTGACTTGACTACGCGTCGAGGATCTGCATTTCGCGCTACCTGTACGCGGTCGCCTTGATCTTCATTGGCTGGTGGCTCGTTCCCCGCGCCTTCCCTCCCTGCATGCGTTGCGTCGGCAAAAACTACCGCCGACATTCGATGTCGACAGCTGTAACTTCCAACACACGAGCACGCATCAACAAACGCAGTCGTCCACGCCAACGAACACGATGCGGTCACTACTCACCCTCTTCAGCGCGTTGCTGGCATATACCACGGCTGTGTACGCAACCGCTCTCACCTACCGATTAGAAGCACACGAGAAAGCATGCTTCTTCGCGACCGTTGAGAACAAGGGGACCAAGCTGGCCTTTTACTTTGCAGTATGTGTTCCACCCGGAAGATCTATGCGCAATTGCTTTTGGGCCGTTCAGAACCACATCGCCATGCAGTAGCAGCAAAATCTATGGCAATCGAGCTGACAGGCATGTGAACAGGTGCAATCTGGAGGCTCTTTCGATGTCGACTACTCGGTTGTCGGCCCCACAGACAAAGTCATCCTCGACGGTACCAAGGAGCGACAGGGCGATTTTGTCTTCACAGCGCTTGACGTGGGCGAATACCGTTTCTGCTTCAACAATGAGATGAGCACGTTCGCCGAGAAGATGGTCGATTTCGAGATCGCCGTACGTACCACCTGGCCATATCTCTCCAGACATCGCCGAACCACAATGCTGACTCCATGTTCTTACAGGTTGAGAACGAAGCCGCCCGCGCCAAAATCCCATCCAAGCAGGGCTCCTCCCCCGAGCAGACCTCTGTCCTCGAAGAATCCATCCTCAAGCTCTCCGCGCAACTCTCCACCATCTCCCGCAACCAAAAGTACTTCCGCACGCGCGAGAACCGCAACTTCAGTACCGTCAAGAGCACTGAGAAGAGGATATTCAACTTCAGTTTGATGGAGTCGGGCTTGATTATGACCATGGCAGGACTGCAGGTCTTCATTGTCCGCTTCTTTTTCCAGGGCGCCAGGAAAGGTATTATATGACAGCTCTCTCATCATGAGAGGAGTTTGGGGCACTGTGGGCTGACGCGTGTTGGCAGGCTACGTATAGACGCTGGTCCACGTTCAAAACTGGGGCTCAACCATGGTTCGGACTGGAAGTCTGAAGATGTCATATTGATTACTGTCACACAGGTCGAGACGAGCGCACTTTGTTTGATTTACCTATTTTGGGCGCTTTGGGGCTGCCGGAGTGTGTAAAACACCGCGGCATCTTTGTGGTATTCTGGCGCACTAGCAAGTTTACGAGAATTTTGGAACGATGTGCAAGAGCCATCCGCTTGTTAACGCCCTTGGATTCAGTACGAAATGTGCTGACAAACGTGCCTGCATTGCTATCCGTCCCTAGGCGAACCCGCGCGCACTTCCCTCTAAGTCGCATTGGAGGCCCGTGCTCCCCCACTCACCTTCCCGCATACTAGCTCAATATCGATATCGTTGGAATCGTAAGTTTTGCAAGACTATTATATGTAGGTCCCTTTGCGACTAATTGTTTCTTCAACCTCCTGGACGCTGCCAGACTCTTGGGATTTCGGCGTTAAGGGACTTGATCACTGGACCCTGAATTCTGTGGTCGACGACTATCGGGCAGCCAGTAGCAGCGCGGCCGTTGCAATTCCCTCTCACTCTCACTTGTCCTTTCGCTTCTATTGTGGCCGGCCGTCCGATTGAGTCACCTGTTCTCGCAATATCTCTCGCTCCGTTCGGTTAGGTGAGCGTGGTAATGCGCACACAGAGGCCACATAGTCTGCCTTTTTCCTCCTTGTCACCTTCTTTCAACTTTAACTCTCACATCCCACCATCTTGACTATCACAACCCTCTATTTTGATCCCATCACCCACAACTTGAGCATTTTCACCCGCTACTTCCATCTTTACATCCCTTTACCTTTGCTCTTTCAACCCACACCAGTTGCTCGTCATGGCAGCAAACGACGACACCGTCAGGCGGGATTCCGTGAATAGCTACACCAGCGGCCCGAAAACCCCACAGGGCGCACTCGGTCGCTATCAGACTCAGTCACCGCACGATCCCGCGATGGCCTTCCCTCTTCAAGCGCAGTTGCCGACTCCCAAGATGAGTCCGCAGATGATGGCCCAGTACATGCGCTCTCAGGCCATATCAACTCAATCACAGCCGCGCCCTACCACTATGCAAGCGCAGCCTCCCACTCGCGAGGAAGCTCAGGCACGTCAGAACCGCCAGTTTGCCCTGTTTGGAATGGCCTACTTCCAGAGGTTGGACCCGCAGGCAAAGCAACAGTTCCAACAGTTACCTTCCCAGAAGCAAAACGAGATCGTTAGGAACGCGATCGAGAAACGCAAACAGCAAGAGATTCACAAGGCACGCGGGCAGCAGATGGCGGCGCAACAGGCAAAGCAACAGGAAGCGCAACAACTGGCAGCACAACAACTGGCAGCGCAGCAACTGGCAGCGCAGCAACTGGCAGCGCAACAGGCGCAACAACAGGCAAAGCAGCAGGCGCTGCGACAGGCACACTTCAACAATTTTGCACAGCAATACGTCAGCTCGTTCAGTCCTGAGAAATTGCAACGATTCAGACAGGGTTCCGGAATACAGCAAATGCAGCATCTTAGCAGCGTCTACCAGCAGATGCAAAACGCGCAGAAGCTACAGCAGCAGAAAATGCAACAAATGCAGCAGCATCAACCAGCCCGGCAGCTACAGCAGGTGTCGCAGCCGCAACAGCTCGCGCAACAGCCTCAACGTATTCTGCGAACTCCAGAAGTACAGCAACATCGACAGCTGCAGTCACCACGTATTCTGCAAGCTCCACAAGCTCGGCAACATCAGCAGTCGCATGTGCAACGTATTCAGCAAGCTCCACAAGCTCAGCAACATCAGGAGCCGCCGGCACAACGTATTCAGCAAGCTCCACCAGCTCAGCAACATCAGGAGCCGCAGACACAACGTATTCAGCAAACACAACCGGCGCCTCAGCTGAAGAGGCCTCGTTCTGACGACGATGAGGCAAGCCCAGCCGCCAAGGTAGCCAAGGTCGCGCAGACAATTACAGAGCAGCAGCCGAAGAACACAGAGGATCCAGAAGATCAGAGACTCAGGTCTAAGCTCACAAGCTGGCTCGCATCCAATGAGGCTATGGAAGAAGCTCAGAAGAGTGAGCAGTCTGCGGAGTTGCACTGGCAGATGCAGCACGCTGGCCCTTACGCTGGCCCTTACGCCGGCTATGAGCCTGCGAAGTCGAACATCCTCGACAACTCGTTCTAAGATTACATCACCACATCCGTTCGAGGCACGCTTGGACAACCTCATGGCAGGCCGACACACCTCACTCTCACACTATTGTCGTTTAACTACAGGACATCCTGATCGGCGTCTGGACACCTCGCGGTCTTTGCATTCGGTGTCTGGCTGCAGGATTACCTCGCAGTCTTTACATTCGGTGTTTGGCTACAGGATATCTCGACCGGCATCGGGACACACTTTTCCTCTTTGCATACGGCGTTTGATTATCTGCTTCACATTACCACACTGGGCGGAAGCGGTTCACGGAAGAACACAGCAAGGCGTTTGGTCAATCGCATTACGATACCATACTGGGCGGACACAGTTCACGGAAGAACAAAGCACGGCGTTTGCTTTTCTCCATTTTCCTTTATCTTTCTCTTTTGCGTTCACTTCTGCGTTCGACGACATTACCATCACACATTTCACGGGCTGCATCATTGCTAGTAGCGTTTGCGGCTTTGCGGCTAAGCGACGCGAACGCAGTTGCATGTTCATCATCATCACCATTATCAACGCGGCCGCTTGATGTAAAGGGCGCTATTATCAACACGGAAACCGGGGACGAGAAAATAGTCTAGAAAATACACGATAAAACATCCATCACATCTTACTCTGCTGTGACTTCCATTCCCGTCTTCTTGAAGCTTCACTAACTTTGTTTAAACTCATCGTTCTTCACCACCCTGCAGATCACAAGATGGCCAATCAACGCGCCCTACCACCCCTTGTCCTCTTACCCATCGTACTCGCCCTCTCTTTGTTCGAGATCGCGTATGCGGCCAGCCTTGCTGCTTACGCTACTCACTACATCGCCGTGCGCATGCTGCTCTATACCCAGGACTATCTACACCCGGGTCAGCTAGACAGTGTAGGTGGTGTGTCGCGGTTTACGAATGTGGATAGGGGTCTGATAGCATTTTGGTTGCCTGTTGTGATAGTATTGATCTTCAGGGTGTTTGCGATATGGGAGAGGCAATTAGAATGAGAGAGCGGGAGGGATAGTAGGAGTAGGCGTTGGGACGGATGAAGCGGGTGAGTGGTGCGGGAAGATGTGGCTTAAATCAGTTGTGATTGGGTCATTGCGACGACCTTCGCGTTCGTAATACCTTCTCCATATTTTGAAACTTGTGATGAGCGGATGAGTCTGTTGGACAGTGGCTTCGTGAGTCTTAGCAAACGGCCGTGTTGATCGTGACTGTATAGTGCGATGTAGCGAACAGCCCTAATTTGCAATGGCAAATAAATCCCGTATGCTCGCCAAACACTCCACGAAGCGTCCGGTTCCATTCTCGGAGTACGCAGTTAGTAGACGTGGCCTACGAGCGCACCATTCTATACCAGCGCATTTAATCTCGATGTATATATTCAAGAAGCCCTCTTGTTTCACACAATCCAGCTGAGTGTGAAGATTCTTATCGTGTACTTTCCTAAAGCCCTAAAGATAACACCATCCAACATGCCGTCAACATTCTTTCTCATCGAGCAATCCGAGCTCCACAATTTTCTTCGTGAACTGGATGCTTTGCATTCTTGGGCAAGGAATATGGCAGGCCTCAGTACATCCATTACGGCGCAAGCCCCGCTGGGAATGCCCGCAGCCCGACTAGGACCGCGCTGTTATGCACACGAACGTCCAAGACGGCCCGACCCATTTGCCGCTTCAGCTTGGTATACACCTTCTGAGGATGAAAACCGTACAGCTCCGCCAGCTCCAAGGCCACAGACATTCCAGCACAATCAGAACCTCAATCAGCCTTTCGGTGGAATGGACCAGGGGTATGGTGGTTTCGAATATGGGGAGCGCGGCCATATGGGATATGAGTTTCGTCCACCCTCACCTGGTTTAGGAAGGCGAGGTGCAAGTTCGACGGGAATGTGTCGGGATCAATCGAGGGGTGAGGCGCGTGCAAGAGCCGCATGGTCAGTGCCGATGCAGAGTGGACCACATCGCACACCGGTGATTACTCGAGCGCCAAACACTCCACACACACCGCAAAGAGGTGCAATATTTGTCAGACGACCTCGCCGGGCGAGGCCGCAAAGAAATGCGGAGAATGCGGAGGTCATGGATGATGGAACTGAGGATGAGGATGAGGAAGAGCATGAGGAAGATGAAGAGTATGTTGAAGAAGAGAACCAAGGGGTTGATCATGAAGGTGAAGCTCGCTAAGATGAGATTATTCCGTAGTGGTATGACAGTCAATCGCGCTTGTGGATTGATTCTGTACTGTCGCGGTGCCTACGTTGTTACCTAGTGCATACATTCCGTCGAAAAAGGTACTTACAGATGCTGCTAGGCTTTGCCCTTCTACACTATGTGAAACGTGCGAAGGTTAGATGCAGTATTTTGCCTATTGGATTTGATAAGTTCGGGCATCCAGCAGTCACCGACGACCGTCATAGCCGGATGCTGAGGTGGTCCCATGTTCCCTTCCACCTGCTTGATATCCTGTTCAATCTTGAGAGGACGTAGTGCCATCATGGAGTCGCATCCTGGCATGTTCACAACGTAGTCGCCGACCTGTATTGTGCTTGGTCCTAATCCGAACAGCCCAGCACTTGTGAAAAAGCACGAGCGGCCCTCCTTTGTGTGGGCGAGGCCCATCCTGTTTGCTTCGGATAACAGGCGTAAAACGGGTTTCCTATTCCTATTTGATTTTTCGTATGAATTCCAACGACGGAGTATGTTTTCCCAACGAGATCGCAGCTGTGCTTTGTAAGGAGAGGGATGCGGATCCGCAACATCGTCTTCGATGGGTATCACCTTCAGAGCACAATACAAGATCATTGCATCCATCGATTTCTGCTCTGGCGTACCGATGGCGTGATGTTGGATGAAGTAGTTACCCCATCGGTACAGGGTCCTCTCTTCTGTCTCATGTTCGGGTCCTGGCGAATCTACGACACTATCGACGACGCCACCAAAGGTTGCCTGTATCGTGAGCAGGCTATTTTCAACGGTAACCAATGACACCCCTACTGGCAGAGTTGAGCATTCGTACTTGAGAGATGACTGGAAAGGCCTGTATCGCATGGGTAACCTCCAATCCGGGACCCATGAAGCAGCGAGTCCACCGAAGGACCCAGCGCAGCTCATGATGGCCATTGGAAATCGGATCACTTCGATCTTGCCCAACCGATCATAAAGCTCATTGACTGAGACTTGGTAGTCGACTACAATTGATGTCGAACTGAGACTTCGTAGTGCATAGATTCTGTCGCGATCATCTGCACATCTGGTAGTAGAGAACCGTGTCAAAAGTGTCGTCATATTTTCGGCTCCAGCTACGATACGATCCGTTTGGGCACCAGTAGTATTTTCATCGCACTGAGACAGCTCGTCAGACTTGGTATCTCGTACTGCAGTGAGATTGCTCAAGCGATGCAAGATTGCCGTAAAATGTGGTGTCACTGCTTCGTAGGAAACGTTCTGTTCCAGATGTTCGACAAAGACACGGAACTGCTGCCACTGCATTGTGCCACTACCCGAAATGATGTAGGCTTCGCGGGCATGCATGATCTCTTGGACTACCCAGCGCCTCGTAAACCATCCGGTCTCAAAGAACTGCATGAAGCGAGCTTCCCCATCGCGCGTGTATTCTATCTTTCGTTCAAAGCTGCGCTGTAGCGCTTGCAAATCGCACCCGGGCTCTCCAGTCCAGATCAGCACACTCGTAGCACATGCGTAGAGTTCTCCCATCACGGTAACCTGCTTTCCTTTCTCCTCGTCGTCCGCTTGATTGATGCATATAGCGTCAATCCACAGGGTTCGGGCAGTGCATTCTGGGGTAATACCGTCCCTCAGGTACCTAAGGATCTGAATAACATTGTGACGGACACGCAAGCGAGAGTTCGCCCCAACGAAGATGTACGCCGAATCTTCATCTGAGCCCCAAGCATACGATAAAGCTTCGTAGCTGACTGGGTCTTGGGTCTTGGAGGGATCGTACGCCCGTTCGACGATGTCGACGCGTATGGGGTCTTCGAAGTGCGCCGCTGGGTACAGCTGTATGAAACGCGTGTTGCCATCGTTTGCGAGTGGTTGGTACTGGTAATCCTGAATAGCCGTCATGTCGCAGGCTCTGCGTCGTTGTCGAGGCAATGCTGTCGCGATTGCTGGAGAGAATCAGGCAGGCCTGAGATTTTCGTCCCCTGGTGGAGGGGCTGTGCAAGACACACATGATTGGCGAACGCCTGCAGCTGAGCTGCTGTCTTTAGGCGGCCACACTTATGCGGCGTGGCATTCGTCCGCGCAAGACTCCAGCGAAATGACGGAGACGGAACGAGCATTGCGTAACATCCGACTTGGTTGGGGTAAGATCGCATGACGAGAAGTCGTGAGGACGTCCGTCACCCCTTCTTTTGACGCGTCTTCCATGCGCGGAGATCGTTGACCGCGGATGTGGAGATGGGCGCCCGGGCCATAGCCACACGCGCTAACCGAATCTGTAGATGACATCACCATACACTTCGGTGCTCGCGCTTTAACGCCTATCCAGCTCGGACGGATCATGTCAGCGATCGGACTTCGGTGCATACTTAGCTCGCCATGTATGGATCTGGAGGCCTGAACAAGGCTCAACCAGTGTTACCAGTCGACATTGTGTGTATTGGCTCATCGAGCTACACTGGTTGCAGCATGCGAGCACCTTCTTGTCTATGCATGGGCGGAGTTAGAAGGTTACGACCGAACACCGACCGTATGCCTCTCAACATTGATGTTTCCTAACGTATCTCAAGAGGTATATAGAAGGAAGTCACTCCCAACTTTTGAAGTGACAATTCAACACGCTTCTGTGTTCCTCACTCTACACCCCTTCGTCCTCACACTTGTCAATATGGCATTGCTATCCAAACTCAAGAACATCGCCGTAGTCGGTGCCAATGGCAACGTCGGTTCATACATTACCTCCGCCCTCCTTGCAAAGAACCATTTTAACGTCACCGCCATCACGCGTACGGAGTCCAAGGCCACTTTC